GCCGGCCCCGCGGGCCCGGACCGGCACCGTGCTCCCGGCCCGGCACCATGCCCCCCGACCCCGGACAAAGAGGCCCAGGCCGAGCCTCCCGATTTTCCCGGACATGCCCGGCTTTGGGGGATTTCCCCCCCGGACGGGGATTTGAGCCCCCAAAAGCCGGACATGTCCGGGAAAATCCGGACGTATGGTAACCCTAAACTATATTATGCAGCTGGCACAGCACACTACACAGAGGTGGGGGAATGGGGAGGGGGACAGAGGGGAGGATTTTGATGGCCCCACAGATCCTGATTTCCCAAGGACAGCAACTTAATGTCCTCTAGTTTAAAATGTGCCCTTTCGACCTGGGGGGGAGAAGGTAATTTTGGCACTAGCAGAGTTAAAATCATAATCAAGACTGGAGGCCTAAAATGGAAAGAGAACAGTATTTATACCATTGCTGCTTCATGCATTAAACAAGAAATTCTATAGCAGGCAAACAGATGTAAGAGGATTGAAATGGTGCAGGTCCCTTGGTCTAAACTGTCCCTAAGAAGGAATCTGTCTGTCTGAAGAGGATCATCCTTTCCTTACTTCCCGCTGTTTCCTAATGCTACACAGGTCTCCCTCCCCCTGCTAAATTGGGTGGCTGCTGGAAGGCTATTAACAGGCTTTGATGAAAAAAAATAAAATCAGCCAGACGGACAGATGTGTTTTGCAGTCTCTAAAGTAGCACTTGCTGCTAAAATGGCTGTTGGAGGCTGGCTGTAAATAGTGTTACATGATCTCTGTGCATTTCATCCTGCCAGCCACTGCACGTGTTTTGGATCTCTGCTGCCTCCAACTTCAGTGCAAACCAGGCTCCAAAATTTGCCAGAGTCTGACCACAGTTCAACTGTCTGGGGCTGTAAATCATTTGATTCAGGATCTGTCCTTAAAATTACAGCAAGCAAAAGGAATCATCTGGCTACAACTCATTGGAAAACAAAAACACATTTGTGTCCTCAAGTGATTCATACACTTAAGCGCAGACTAATGGTTATGGGCCACAGGCACTAAAACAAATAATAGTAATCAATGCTATTTTTAAATAGAAGAATGGGGGTGAGGGGTTAACGTATGTGGAATTAGCTCTGAGCAAGATGAGATGCTATTGCTGTAAAAATTGAAAGCATCCTCTGACATAGACACCCATGGTTCAAATTCTCATTTATACTCATGCCATCCCAGAGTTTTAGCAGATTTTGCCTTTCTCCTTAACTTAGTTTCATTAGCCAATATCATGCCATCCATTTTTATGCAGGACTCCCCCCTGATTTCATATCAATTGCTGGCACAATGTGGGCCATTTTCTGATTTGAAAAAAAAAGGGGGGGGGGTAATTTTTCTAGCAGAAATTAACAGTTTCTGAAAGAAACCAACTAAACCTAGGCACTGCAGTATTTGTACATTACACCTCATGAAAGAAAATTCAGACAATTCAATAGTTTCTCGGTTATTTAAATTTTTGAAAAGTGTACCATAGCACAGAGCAACTCTGGAAAACAGCAATGGGGAAAAAAATAAATAAGAGGATTAGATACCTAAAAGAGATCTGAAAACAGCTTAAAAATTGTAAAGACATCCCTTTCAGAGTGTCCTCTGCAGTAATGCTTTGGAAAATTTCCCCTCTTTTTTATGATAAATGCAAAGATCCCTCAAGCTGAAGCTCAGAAGCTTTCATCTCAGAGACAGCTAAGTAGATCAGGCCCTTCCTATCACTTGGACATAACACAGCTAAACATGGGTACTGCTTCCTAACTTTAAAGAATTCTCAGGTTCTGATTAGGAACAAACCAAATTCCTCTACCATTACAGAAATAGATGCTTTTTCCTGTTCAGATGGACTGGCATAATATTATTTTACCTATTGCAGCATCACAGTCACTGTTTTTAAAGTGACAACAGCCCCAAAATCTTTGTGAGAATATGACTATTATTCTCCTTAAACTGTATGCTATCCAAAATTTCAGTAGGGCAATATTCCATACATGAGTAAACTTCAATTTCCTTTTTTTCCTTTACCCCAAGCCTTGTCTACAAATAACATAAGAAGTTATCACAATAAAATGTTTATCTAATGCATCTCATCAAGATTCGGTCCAGCTTCAGTTCATCTGAGTACTGGGATCAAATGTATTAGATTGTTTGTTTGTGGCCTAGATCATATGAAGAAGTTGATATTTTCTGCTTAAATCAGAAGAAATTTAATACAACGCACTCCTTTCCACATATCTCGCCACTTATCTTATTTCGTTTGCAAATATCATATGTATTCTCTTGAGATAAAAATAGTGTAAGATGATTAGTTAGGCAAGTTCATTCGACACCATTCCCCCTTCATGACGCTGAAATCTAAAATCTGTATATGGTATACAACTTAAAGTATATATAAGCAAGCTCAGCTCTGCTGGAGACACACAGCAAGTGCTTTCCTTCCAACTAGATTGCCTCCTTGTCCAGTCAAGAAGACCACAAAGGTAAGACCATTAGAACCTCTGCTTTTGGAAAAAGAAAAAGAAAATGCTTCATAAACTGAAAGAACCTAGGCAATTAAAAAACAAAACAAAATCTTATAATCTTTTCAGTCTGACATACCTTTACAATCTAGAGTAGAATGAAATCAGTGATCAGACTAGTGGGAGGGAAATGGCAGTATGGTGCACCTCTCAGAAATGACGGCATGCTCCAACTTTTTCCCCCCCTTTAACTTTTCCCCTTCCTTTTTTCTACCATCAGCAGTGAGAAGTGGGTGATTGGCATAACTCCCTATCACCCTGAGTGCTGAGAGCAATGGTAGCAAGTATTCACAAGAAGTCATTGAGATAAATTCACTGCTAGCATAAGCGGAAGAAATGCCAGTGGAGAAACTTAATTGGAGATGCACCCATTGAGACCAGTGGGGAATTTGCCCTATTGTTTCTTTGCACCTTCTGAAGTACCTGCAAGCAAGGACTAGCCAGACCTACATGATTAACTGTTTATTTCCTCTCTCAGAAATCAGTTTGGATTGACGTAGACAACTGATTGCCTGAGCAAGTTTACAACTTATGTAGATCTGATTAACAGGGCACATAAGTCATAAATGGTTAGCCACCCCATCTTCCCTCATATCCATGTGCCCAGAAAGGAAAATAAAAGGGGAAACATATTTAATTTTTCTACAAGTATTTTATATGGGAAAGATAGTTTATTGGAAAAGCACTGGGATGGGCTTGGGAGATCTTGATTTTATTCCTGGCTCTGCCACAGACATCTCTGTGACCCTCAGAAAGTCACTTCTCTGTACCTCAGTTCCCCATCCATAAGTAATACGTACCTACCTCACAGAAATGTTGTGAATCTTAACTCATTAATAATTGTGATATACTTTGAAATCTTCAATGGAGAATATATTAATACTACTTCAATGTATTAATATTAAATTACATTCCCATGAACAGAATAGACTGGGATTTAGGGCCTCAGCAACTGTTTGGTAATCAACACACAGCTTTGTCAGACAGAGCCTCTGGAGTCATCTTTGCTTCAGTGGGAAGAAGGGGATCTTTGTTAAAAGTTGATGTTTCAGAAGAAACTGGCTTCCCTCCTCCAGTCTTCAAAGGTTTACTCTCAGCACATCAATTTACCAAAATGAAGGCATCTGGGTAAAAATCCAGCTCATTCTACTCTGTGCCGAGACAAGGCAGCCCAACTTGTTTAAGAAGAACAGTTGCCTAGACAGCTACCATGAGAGTTAGTCTTCTATAGAAACATAAATGCAAAAAGCCAAATTCATCTCTGATGTAATTCAATTTACCTCAGTGGAGCTAGGCGCGGGTTGTATTTATTCCTGTGCATTTAGATTCCTTTAACATTAAATTAGAATAAATAGACTAAATCTTCATCTTATCATTTTTTTTTCAATTTTTAAAAATATCAGCCCATTTACTGATAATCATGATTTGATTTTAAAATATTCTAGGCAAAATAGCTCCAAGAACTTTACCAGGGATAAAAATGGCCCTCTGTTTTATGTACTCTGTAGATACATTTTGACTGTTTATATAATACCTTTTAAATGAGTAATAATCTACTTCCAGGGAAATCCTCACAGAAGTCACACTTTTGGGGTGCTAGACACCTTTGACTTGCTCTCTTCCCATGCTCCCCAGACATCATATCTTACTCCGGCCCTACACCCTGTCATGTGGAATTCCTCACTCATTCCTCAGCTTCAAGTGGAAGCACCTGCTGCAGACATCTGTTACTGTATGCTCCATTTACAATTAGATGAATAATATATCCTTTATCAGACATTGTCCCACCAGCAACTTCAAACAAAGCCTTTGCGTGAAAGAGATGGAGAAGTTATTTTAATGACTAAATACCTCACATTTATTTTACAGTTCAGCAATGGCTATGACTGATATCCTTTCTGCTAAAGATATTGAAGCTGCTCTTACCAGCTGCCAGGGTAAGGAACGGTCCCTCTGCAATGAGGAGACATTATTTTTACATTTTAATATGGTATGGCTATCATTTTCTCTGTAGATCCCTTCCTTTTGAGGTCTCTTTGTAGCTGCATTACAAGGTAGCCTCCTGAATTCAAAAAGACCTACAATAGGTTATTTTATGGGTACCATTCCCTTAAATGTGCAGCAGCAAACTGTTAAACAGTTAAAAGGCAACATCCTCAGATGGTATAAATTTGGTGTAGCTCCACTGATTTCTATTGCACTCTGCCAATTTTACACCAGTTGAGGATTTGTCCTTAAGTATTCATTCATTGAGGTCCTGCCTTGCAGGATTATGCCCACATTTATGTATATTCCGTGAGACAGTTGAAGACCCTGGATTAAATTTATTTTCTCCTGAAGCCTTTGCCTGTGTAATGACTGAGTGAAGCTGGAGTAAAGGCTTCATAGTTTGGCTGAAAGGCTTTATGTCAGACACACACACTCTAAATGTTTATTGTAATTGCCTGTGAGGTAGATTGAAATAAGTTTCAGGGGCTTTGCAGAATGTCCATTCTAACAGGAAACACGAATTTGGCCACAGGATATCCAACCATAGGCCTACAGTTGTTAGAAGGGGAAGCTCCATTTAGATTGTGTCTAGTGTGCTGCACCGAGGAACAAAAGCAGCAGAAGCTGAATTGGAGCACTGAGCCTGGCACCCAGATATTATGGGGATGGGTACCTTAGAAATATGTACAACAGTAATAACCTCAAGAGAAAAGGTGTTAAACAATAGGTTTTTGTTTCTTCCAGCTGCTGACTCTTTCAACTACAAGTCTTTCTTCTCCAAGGTCGGTCTAAAAGGCAAGTCTACTGACCAGGTAAAGAAAATTTTTGGAATCCTTGACCAGGACAAGAGCGGCTTCATTGAGGAAGATGAGCTTCAGTAAGTATAGCTTAGCTGCTGTTACTTATTAGAAAACGTAGGCTTCTGGATGTTTTCTGCGTCCTGTGATCTGCTGCTGCTTTTAAAGAAACGCCAACATCTTGGCTGTCTCTGAATGTGGTCTTAACATCAGCTTGTGAAATAAGTTTAGGAATTTCCACATATGTTAAGATTAGACCTTTTTCATTTGTGGGGTTTAGGCTGTTGAATTAGGTGAGAAAGACAGAAATCCTGAACTACCAAAGTCATCTCAGAGAACAGTGTGTCACAGAACTCTGTGTATGGCACCCAGAAAGATGGGACCACATCCTGACTTTGGGCTCTAAGCACTTCCACAATACAAAGAACACTTAGTAATGTCTCTGTTTTATTTCAGGCTGTTCCTGCAGAATTTCTCCTCAACTGCCCGAGCTCTAACTGCTGCTGAGACCAAGGCTTTCATGGCTGCAGGTGACACTGACGGTGATGGCAAAATCGGAGTGGATGGTAAGTTTTTCAATGTGGTCTTCAGTAAGTTTTGGTTTCTTCAAATATGTATTTTCAGGCTGAAAGTAAATTTACAGCACTAATAATTAGGTGGAGTAATAGGGCCCAATTTCCCTCTGAAACAGGTTTTACACAAGCGTAGCTTCACTGATTTCAATCAATTTACGCCTAGTGTCGCTAGTATCCATGACAGCAGAATTAGGCCCGATATGGAGCCTGATCCCGCACCCACTGAAGTAAATGAGAGCTTTGCCATTGCTTTCAGTGGAGGGAAGATCAGGCCCATCGACTCTAAAGGTCTGATTTTTCAGAGGTGCTGAGGACCAGCAGCTCCTATGGACTTTAATTACAGTTGTGGGAGCTCTGCACATCAGATCACAGGGGAACACTCGACCTATACTCAGTAATACAGTAAAAAGATTGATTGTGCTTTTTTTTTTTGTAAGGATGCTACAATTGCTGTAATGCATTTAAACACCCAGCACTCATTCAGAGTTTGTCTGACGATATTTGTGCTGGAGAATAATCTGATCAGTGCAAGTTTCACTGGACAGCACTTCTATGGGAAACTAGACCAAATTACTTTAAAAAACCCAAGAGGAAAGATATGGGCTGGCTGGGCAATTTCTTTTTGAACTCGCAAGGAAGCAAATAGGGCATCATGGATCATGTACTGGAGATAAAGTTGCTGAAAACTGGGCCAGACTAAGACAGGTGGCAACAACCCTAACAGACACACGTGCTAATCTTAGCTGGAGTTCGGGAGGAGAAGCAGGAATGTGCTTCAGCAGCAGCTCTTGCAGCTTCTACTTATAAACCCCAAATAGGACATCATCTTATACAGATCTCAGGCAGCTCCTTAGCGATAACACTTCTGACTCTGAAACTATGTCACTGCTAACATTCAGTGCCTCATTTGGAAGCTAAAAAAGCAAGAAAATTCAGACTGAAGGTGACAACCCTGTCCTAATCCACCCTCTTTCATTTTGGCTATTGCAGCACATTCAGTGTGCGTGGTAAACTCACACTCCAGCTGGAAACCCTGGTACAGTGGATTAAATAAAATTCAGTTTTAACTCAGGATTTCCTAAGAATATGATTTTATAGGTCCATTCCTCATCTCAGCATACAATCTGTTTTAAGGAGTGAAGAGCTGCTACACCCCCTGTGTTTCAATTTAGCAGCAGCTTCAAATAGTTTGTTACAACAACATGGTGGGCCCTTGTCTAGGATTTTTGGACAGTTTTCTTTCCAAAGGCCCTAATAATCACTTTCATCTAGTTTTATTCCCTGCTTGTCTCGTTTTCTTTCTCTAACAGAATTCCAGGCTCTGGTGAAGGCATAAAGAGCATTAGACCAAAAGCAACAATGGACAGTCTCTTCAAATTCCCTCCTCCAACAAGCACCTCACACTCAGCACATATTTGTACATTTTTATATTGTCTCATGGCATTAGTAAAATGCCTGTATGTTAACTCCACATATGGGACTGTTAAGAGATCTTGCAATGTACAGGTATTTTGGTCATGTGGCGTTGTTTTCAGTGTAAAAGCAGGCACTTTGTGATTTTCGACCACTCACAATGTTGAAGTTGTGGCTGGAAGAAGGAAAAAAATTATTAAAAAATTCTGCAAAAAAACCTGTTGTCTTTTATTCTCTCTGCTCAAATCTTCCTTTCCCAGTTCCCCAGGCCCACTTTCCAGCCCACCCACCCCAGACACACTTTTGATGATCTTAAACAATATGATATCTTTTAGTGTTTAATTGCTCTGATTTGGTTGAGTTTTCTTCTGCTTAATTCTATGATCCCTGAGGAAAAGGGATGCTAACAAGGTATCTAAAAATAATCTTCAGTTCCAGCTGTGAGACTTTTAGAGAAAAAATGTAAGAGGAGTTGACACATAGCTCATAGCAGGGAATAAATTCCTGGTTAATTTAAAAAGCAAGTGGTAGGCTATCGTCTGTATTGTCAGAAAGTGCTAATAGCCTAAAATGTAACTCTCTCAAGAGGAAATATCTTCCTTTATCTTTATATTAACAACTACTGTGCGGTAGCTGCATTCTAGTGGAATTGGGGAGCAGGAAACTTAGGTATTAATCCCAACTCTGCCAATATCAAAGGCCATGATCCTGCAACGAGCTACATGTTGGTGGGCTGTTGCTGTGTAACCATGAACATGTCACTTAATCTCTCTGTGCCTGTCACCAGCTGTAAAACAGCTATATTAACCATTTCCTGCCTTGTAAAAATGCTGTGCTTGCTACAGATGAAAAAATGCTCAGCATCATTCCTCAAGTCTGTTATTCAATGCCAAAGTGTAAAATATCACCAGTAATACACTCATATAGAGTGGCTATTACCCAACTCCTTCATTTATCATAATGAACGCTGACTGATGTACATTAATATTAGTATCCTTAATAGTATAGCCTTAATATTAGCCGTTTAGCTTATGTCTGAAAATGACTGAAGCTACTCATGCCTTTTATAAATGTCTTACAGCCCATGTAGTGGGATGTTGCTAAGTCTCAATTATTTACTTAGTCCATTGATAAAGGGTTATGGTTAAATACAAGAAGAGGAGCAGTTTTATATTTTCAGAGGGGTGGGTTAAAAATTTCCCCACCAACATTTAATTACTTATTTTGCCATGACTTGGTTCCAGACCAAAAGTACACTGTGGTTTTACTATTTCTTGCTGACATGGGATGATAATTGTCACCTATTTTTTGGCAGCTGTTTTGAAAAACCGCAGAAACCGAGCATGTTGGAAATTGTATGTAATTTTTGGGGCAGGCATGTCCATAAATTGCAAGCCGATCAAGTAATGCATAGCACAGCTCACTTACACGCAAGCATGTAACCGAGCTTTTTGGCAGATGTTAAGACTGACTGCTGAAGAGGAATCCTGGCAATCAGTCTTGCTGAGGCCTTGGCAGTCAAGCATAACACAAAGTTATCCTGAATATAAATCCTAATTCTATCCCCAGTTGCTTTGATGTTAAATCTTGATTTAAATTATTGCTGGTGTTAATTGCTAGATGGCAATATTGCAAATAGTGAAGAGACTACATTGACTCCTTCTACCTTTATTCATTCGCCTGTCTATGGAAGACAAAGATAAAGTGCACATCCATATCTCTAGCAGTCCAGAGACACAAAACTGGCATTATTGTTAATCAGTACAAATTAATGTCTGTTTTTCATCAGCATAATAGACATATATCACCAGCATACACAGATCCAGGGCCTGCTAATGCATTCCTTGCCTGCCAAATCTCCCAATGGGTACACAAGAAATGCAGATTTGGGCCTTGAGCTAACCTCAATTTCAGGAGTACTGAGCAACGACAACTCTCATTGAATTCAGTGGCAATTAGGGGTGTGTAGCACCTCTGAGAATCAGGCCACTCATGTATATGCTCCTACTCCATGTCAAAATTCCTGCCAATGTAATTGTTTTCAGGAGAAAATCTGCTGCAGTTATACAGTCGTTTCTGACAATGTGGCAGATTTTAAACATTTAAAAAATGTTAAGAAGCCATGCCACCACTTTGTCAGTAAGAAATCAAAACAAAATGCCAAAAAGCCATAGACACTGTGCAGGCAGGATCTATGCAAAATTAGAGCTTTTTTCTCTACTGACTGGCGCTGGGCTCGGTATTCTCAGAGTTATGTTAATAATTCAGGTCATGATGTCTGTTACCTATCTCTCTATAGATAGAAAAGAACCATTTCACTGAAATATATGGATAGACAATTACTGATTGATGGAAGCATTAACAACTCAGATTGTGTATTCCCAAGTACGTATCAATTTGACATTAGAAAGACCTGGGCATGTACCAGCAGCAACTAAATAAATAGAAATTAGAGGCAAATATAACTGAGCCTTAGGTTTCATGCCTTGCAGTGCACTCAAAACATGTACTAATAGCTTATTGCTACATTAAAAAGCTAACTGCAAGATCTGAAGGAAGGGATCATGTCTTCTTTCATATCACAATGGAAATGAATAAAAGATAAAGTAAAATAGACTTAAACGGCCCCTTTCAGTGAGTTTCAGTTCAGCCCATGACAGATTTTAATTTCCTTAATGGGCGCAGGAGGCAGCACTCTCCAAATTGTGATGACCCAAGACCTCTGGGGAAATCACATGGATGGCAGGGCATCTAAGCAGAGGGCCTTCCCCTCTGAACTGCTTCCCGAGCCCTTTTCAATGCTGGAAGTATGAGTTCCACAGAAGTCCTTACAAAGAGATTTTCTTAGATCGTAACAGGTTGCAGAGGCTCTGCCTGACAACCAGTGAGGATTAAACTTCCTGCTCAGAACTCACAGAGGTGCATGAGATAGGGAAACGAAGTAGGGCTAAACCCTCAGAGGGAACCGAGAAAACTATGAGCAGAGGGAGAGGAAATCCAGAGGAGACAGAGTTGTTAGACAGCTGGGCTGTAGCACAAGATGAACTCTTTCTATGTGATTCTCTCCTTATGTAGTTCAGTGTTGGGGTAGAATTGTACATTAGGTAGAGTAACCAGAGCAGATCTGTGTTCTTGCTATTCTTCTCCATTGAAGTGGTCGATAGTAGCTATGGTATCAAAAGCACAAGGTAGGGCTGCCCTAACCTGTTGTGGGACACTGCACCAGCCCCACAACTCCTGCAGAGGTAAAGTGGAAGCCACCACCTCTTCTCTGTCTCAGCACCAATGACTGCACCAGTGTAGGGATTAATCTGGTCCAGGGCCTTAAAGGAACTGTGCCTGAGAAAAGACCTGCTTTATCTGCTAGACCAGCTGTCCCACTCACCAGCTTCCAAAAAAATTTTTCTTATCTTCTTAAATAACATACTCAACATTTCCCTTATAAAACTTATTCCTTCTGAAATATAAAACAGTTCCCCAGTCCTGCAAGCCTTCCTCAGCTTGGGCTCATTGGACTGCAGACTGCTGGGGAGAAAGGAAGAAGGACCTGGTGTCTCCAACTCAATGGGAATTTTGAGTAAAAACTGCAGGTTCAGGTCCTATGTTTATTCATTTGGGAGGAACACAGAAGTGAACATTATTGAAAAGAATATGCATTAAATATATAGCCCCATCCTGTACTTAGATACATTTTTAGCAGTGCCTTTTCTCAGTCTATTTTTAATTGTTTATCTGTCACAAAACCAGAAAGGATCAATCCACATGCTGCATAACACACTGGTAGCCTGTTCTCAGCCTTTGGAATCAGGCCATACCACTGCCTAAGACACCTTTCTGTGAGTTCCAGGATAAAGGAAATAAAACCATGGTCTTTATATTTTACTAAATAAGAGGCAAAAGGGGGACGCAAGATAGAGATGACAGATCTGGATTTCACACACCTCAAAGTACAGGATCTAGCTGTCTTAAGACACATATATACTTCAGTCTGGAGATGTGAATTCCAGCCTGAGGAGGCATACTCACACTAGCTCTGGCTGAACTAGCATGCTAAAATAAAGCGGAGCTCCAGCGGTGAGAGCAGCAGAAGGGGCTAGCTACTCTAGTATGTCCCTAGAGTCTTGGACAGCATCATATGCGGCACAGCTCCTCCCGCTGCCAGGTCTACACTCTATTTTTACTGCACTGGATCAATCAGAGATATCACAGGTGTGTCTCCCTGAGCTGGAAATTACACCTCCAGTTCCAGTATAGACATATCCCTAGGTACTTATGTGGCCCCTGTTACCATACTATCTGAGCACCTTCATCTGTAATCCCTCACAACACCTCTGGGAAGTAGGGAAGTGCTATTATCCCTAGTTTACAGATGGGGAACTGAAGCAAGAGGGACTAAGTGACTTGCCCCAGGTCATACAGGAAGTCTGTAGTGGAGAACAGATTTAAACACAGGGCTCCGGCTAATGTCCACTGAACTGTCCTTCCTCTCAATCCACAATTTGGGGGCCAGGCTTTTCGAATGAGTGTAATGGAGCTGGGGTCCAAGTCCCCTTGAAATTCAGTGGGAGTTGGGTGTCCAACTACCTCAGGCGCCTTGGAAAATCCCAGTCAGGGGCTGTTTGAAAAAGTCAGATCCAGGTTTGGATCTCCAATACCCATAACATTTGGAGGCATTTTGCATGGGGCTCATCTCTAATAAGAAGAGAGGGGAAATAATGCTAAAGTGTTGAGCTGAGGAGAAGAAGAGAAATAGAAAGAGGATCTGAGACCATCCATTCCACACTCACACCCAGAGTGGTACAGTTTCTTCTTTGCATCAGCAGCCTGCCCATGTGAAAAAGTTTTGATGTAGCAGCGCCACAGAGGCCTGGATCTCTTCATACAGACAGAGACGGGGCAGAAGTATCAGAGGGTTGGATTCATTTCCTGAAATGAGCTAA